AGAAAGCTAAGCGTCAAATAGCTTGGCCTATCCAATACAAGCAAACCGCCAAAAGCAGTGACCTCCATCTTGAAAACTAAGATGCCTTAGAGAAAATAATAATAGATGTGTTCCCTGATTTCTGATAAATGGGCATAGATCTAGAGACAAGAATGAGCACATCGTATTCAGAATACAAACAACTTGCTTGTTCTACAGAACATCCGCTTATTAACACCAATAATGTATCATTCTCAAAGGCTCAAAATCACACAGCTACATTCGAATTCAAGTCGGTTACTTTACTGATCCACATGAAAGAAACTGAAGCCGACCAAGCATTCACTGATTTGAACTACATTCCAATAATTACGGGTTGGCATACGATGATGCGAATCCAAACATGCATTCACTAATTTACTAAAATTACACTATCGAAACTCGAAACTTGCATTGAAAGAAACAATTGAAGGCCACTAGAGCCTACCTACCATTCCTTTAAGCTCCTTGGGCACCTTAGCCACATTCTCCACATTCCCAAGCGCATTTGCCACAGACGCAAACAATGGCTCCGTCACCATTGCCATGGCATTCTTGTTCTCATCCAGCGCCTGCACCACGTGCACCACCCCGGGATGCCTCAGCCTCACCAGCCTCGCCGCATCAGCCCGAATAATCTCCAAAAACCCATCTTCCGCCGCCTTGGTCAATCCGGCGCGCAGGCGCGCCTCCGACAGAGCCTTCTTATCCAAAACCCAGACGCAGACGGTGGGGTACTGGTGCGCGCGCGTGGAATCGCGAGCCGCCTTGGCCGAGTAGAGCTTCCAGACCAGGCCCGGTCCGGCTGACCCGATCTGATCGAAGAGCTCGTAGTCCTGGAGAGGCTTGGGTCCGGCGACTTCCTGGACCGTAGTCTGCACGGTCTTTTCGATGGCTGCAGCGGTCTTGGCGAAGGCTTGGGTTAGGGTTTTCATGTTGAGAGACATGCTCGGACGAATGGGAATTGCAATGTGTATGATACAAATTAAATCATAAAAGCAGTGTTCGTATATGTGATATGTATAGGTGTATGTGATCGGTGGAATTGGGTAGGAAGTCTAGGATTTAGGGTTGACGACGACGGAGAAGACGGTGGAGGGAATTTGGAAGATTTCCTCAGATCATCGCTGTGGGTTTCTTCTCCCTCTAGTTTAGTTTCTTTTAATATTTTTTATTAAAAAATGATTTTTTTTTATATTTGGACAATTTCTCTCTGCGTGCAGTTTGTTGCTATTTTCAGTTGGCTTGTCTTCGGTTAATTAATTTTGTTTCTGATAATTTAGGTGAGATGACTGATTCACACGTGGCGGCCAGCTGACTTGGATAGTCGGTGGGTGGGTTGGGCTTTGTAGCAAGTTAAGCGTAATTTTGGATCAATGATATGATGTTATTTGGAAAAATGGTCCATTTAAATATGCTTCAAAAGACAATCTCATAAAATTATGTTATTTGGGAGTCTAATTTTCTCTTTTTTTTTTTTTAAGTACATCGATATTTTTACATTAAAGAGAGAGAGAGTTCGGCAAAACCACACAATAAGCAACCTAATTTGATATCGAATTAGCCATCCACAATATTCGAACTTAAGACCTCTCACTTTTAAGTGAAGAGGAATACCATCAGACCGTAGTACTGAGTGACAATTTTCTCCTTGTTTGCTGTCACTAGTTTAGGACTGAGGACACTTGAGTTTGAGATAGGACGTATCATATTGGAATTATGTGTTCTCGTGGCTTCTCGTTGTAATTGAATTCTAGTTTTTCGATAAAAAAATGCAAATAAGCATTGTCAAAAGCGAATTTGAATCACATTATTACTAGCTCGTTATGAAGCTTAGCCCACTGCCCACCCCCTTAGTGTAGAGATAATATTGTTTGTTAAAATAATAATAAATAAATAAATAAAAAATAAAAAAACTTGCCATCGGGCTAGTTTTAGGGCTGGCCCTGAGAAGGTATTGTGTGGGAAAACGGATTAGGAACATGTGATAGGGGATTTGAACACATAATGCAGTAATTTAAGTGCAGTACATGACATTAATAATTCATTGATATAGTACATGACATGTGGTATTTACGAAAGAAATAAACCAAGGGCATGATGCAGTGCAGTAATTTCAGTGGTCGGAATGGATTGCTAGACGTGGATCTATTAAGTAAGACTCATGAATGAAGAAGCAACTTTTTAGAGTTGCAAACTTGCAATGCCAGCTATTCCTGTCATGTGGATATAAGCGATATGAAATACACGCATTTGGTGGAAATGCTCATCAACTATTTGCAGTAAAAAAGGTATGTGATTGTGTTAGATCAAGTAGCTGCATTTTCATTTGGGATCTTCTTTCCATGAAAGCTTTCTCTAGCTGGCCTCACAGTTGCTGCCCCCACCAGAGTTTGAAGTCATTTCTAGGGAATTCTACCCTTGGATGCTCTCATGTCAACCAAAAAGATGAGAACTATGAATGCAGATGAGTACTTTGAGAAGCATCTTGAGTTGTAGACAAAGTTTGGCAATGAAATCTGAAATGACTGTTTGAGTGGATATTCAATGTTGGGCTTGGTGCGATTAAAGGCCCAAGAACGCGAAAAGTAAAAGGATGATTAGGCTTGGGCAGTTGGCAGCCTAGGAAGAATTGAAAATCATTTTTGCCAAGAAATAGGCAACAAGCCTATGTGAGAAGTGACAAGTGACAGATGATAGCTCATCTCCAGCAAAAAGTACTTTTCCATGGCATGAATAGGTAAATAACAAAAGTAGATGGTGACTCATCATACTATGGAGGCCATCACAAAAAAAGAAGGCTTGGACAGTCGGGGCTAGAAAGTCTATAAAAGCAATGAAAGACACAAGGAAGATCTCTCTCAACCAATCAATCAAAAGATATTCAACTCTGCACTCTAACAAGCAAGAAACCAGAAAGCTTTAGTTTGTTCAAACTTTACCCCTTTAGTCGCAGGTTGATCACTCATATATTTCATGCAATTATACCATCCATTTCTAAAGTTTTTGTGATGTTTTTGTGTTAAAATTGTGGCATTTTACCTTACCTTATGTTAATGTGCAGTTAATGTTGTTTTAGGACAAAAATTGGCAAAAAGAAATTGAATAAAGAAAGAAGTGGAAGGCACACTGGCAGAAAGAATAAAAAAACATAAAAATGGAGAGAAGAAAGCAGTGGAGGACACACGGGACAGTGGGAGAGACTGACGGGGATAGCAGAAAGAAAAGAAGAATAAGGAGTGGAGAGGCAAGTGCGGTAGGTACAACAGAAAAATAAATAAATAAAAGAATAAAGGAAGGTCAGAAACAGAGGAGACAGGGAAGGCAGTAGGTGTGGAAATAAGAAAAGGGAGTGCACTGACAGACGGAAAAAGAATAAAAAAAAGGAGGGGGATGGACTGCAAGGTGGAGAGGAAGGCACGGGTTGGAAGGCAGACGAGAGAGAGAGAGGACTGCGCAGAAGCGAGGCGCAGAAGCACGGGAGTGACCAGACGCATGGCAGGGAACCAGCGAATGAAAAAAAAGAGAAACTGAAGAAGTCAGAGCACAGAAACTGACGGGAGCAGAAGAGGAACAAAAAAACGGGTGTTTTCTTTCTTGTTATTTTCTATGGATAATTTCTTATGTATGAACATAATTATGTGTAACTAATTTATTATGCTAGAGTGAGGCCATGAGCCGCAACATGAATATGTAGATTTATTTTTTTAATTGCTTAAGTGTTGTTACATGCTTGCTTTGATATTTTCAATCACTGAATTAAACTATCTATGTACCTTGATGCTTGATCACCATTAGGATGCTTAGAAAAGTTATCGGATGCAATTTTGAACGAATGTCACGTTAAAATTGGTTGTGCTTCTTGTGATTGAGAATTATACTCTCCTAAGGTAAATATCATGCTCTTAGGGATTATATGGTTTAACAAAAGGATTTTCACCAAGATTAAGGAATCACTCATGTTTATATTTAATCCAAATGTCATGGATAAGTTGCATGTAGTGGTATGCGTTTTAGCTTGAATGTCACAAGTAAAACATACACAAGGAAAATCCAACCTTCAAAGCATGTGTGTTTTCAATTATTTAAGCAATTGGAATAGCTACGTAGGAGTGTTGTTGGTAAAGGTTGAACTCTAGCATATTGTCAATCTATTTTTCTTCAATCATTTATTTTATCTTGAATTTCCTTATTTGTTTGTTTTGTTTAAGTTGAATCATTATTCCTAAAAACCAATTCCCATTTTAGATATTTGTTTAAGTCACATCCGGTAATATTTAGTTTTGTCAAATTAGTGTAATTCTTAAGTTTAAATAAGTTAAATACACAAAAACTCGTAAATTGTTTATATCAGTCCCTGAGGAGATCGACCTTGCTTGAGCCATTCTATACTACAAACACTTGTTCTCTTGCAAGAATTTTCTACGATTTAACCCTTTGTTTTACAAGTGGTAAAATCGCTATCAAGAAATTGGCGCCGTTGCCGGGGACTGTGCCAACAGTTCCCGAGTTTTTGTGTTTATTTTTCTTATGTTTATGTTTATGTCTTATTTTTATTAATCATTGAAAAAAAAAATTTATTTAAGAATCCTTCTTGATTAACTTTGGTACCGTAATAATGTTGTATATTTGTGTTAGAAATCTGTTTATGTATCCCCTTCACAAATTTCTGTTCTAAATCACGTATTATTAAATTTAAAAAAAAATTATTAAATTAAATTTAAAAAAAAACAGCAATTAATTTAGTTGAGTTTCGATCTTTGATTAAGTATAGTGGATGTGTGGTGTGAGATTTTTTGTCTTCATTTAATTAACTAGTGGTTGCAAATTTGCATAATTTGTGTTTTTAATTCATCTAGGTTTACTTACTTTCTTTTTCTTTTTGTTTTTGTTGTTTAGTTAGTTTCTGTTAAGTTTTATTTTATTTTACTTTTATTTTTTATTGTGGCTTAATTTTTCTATTGTTTGTTCAGGTGTAGTATATGGTGATTGGAACAAGGTCCAAGAATCAAGTGCTTATTCCTTACGACCTTGAACCAGAGAGAACTGCAAGGAAGTTAGCTCGAGAAAAATATTTAGCACAAGATTCCAACCTTGGTGATACTTTTCTTAAGGATTTGTTCCGTGATCCTGAGAGCAGCACATATATTTTCCAACCTTTGGCACCAGTTGCACACATGGCCCTAGCCTTACCTGCAGCAGGTCAACCTTTAAGGAATTCATTGGCAGCGAGAATCAATGCAGTGCCAAGGTGCATTATATATCCAGATGTGGAAGATGGGACAACTTTTGAAATCAAACCTCACATCCTCAACATATTGCCATCCTTTCATGGGTTGCCAAACAGTGATCCCAATATGCATTTGGCTGATTTTATTGAGGCATGTGACAACACCATAATCAGAAGTTTCTCTTCTGAAGCTATCAAGTTACGCTTGTTCCCGTTTTCTTTGAAGGACAAAGCCAAGGCGTGGCTGCATTATCTGCCTGCCAATAGCATTACAACATGGACAGAATTGCAAGAAAAATTTCTCAATAAGTTTTTTTCCTTCTTCCAAGACGCTTGCACTCAAGAAAGAGATATTGGCTTTCGCTCAAAAACCAAACGAGTCTTTCCATGAAGCTTGGGAACGGTATAATGAGATGTACACAAAATGTCCTCATGCTGGGTTTGATTCTAACCTTCAAATGAACATATTTTATGATGGTCTCAATGCCACCACCAAGAGTCAAGTGAATGCATCTGCTGGAGGGTCGTTAATGTCAAAATCAGCAAGGGAAGCATTTGAGTTATTTGATATGATGGCTTCTGAATCCCAACAATGGACAGAAGAACAAACACAAAAGAGGGGAGTTTTTGAGATTTCTCAGAGTTCTCCTAATGTTTCTGCTCAAATTGCTAAAATGGAAAAGAATTTTAATGCCAAGTTTGCTGCCTTAATGCAGGTCTCTTCCATGCCCAATGCCCAAGAAGCGTGCATCATTTGTAGTGAGACAACTCATGACATCACTCAATGCCCCAACAAGGATAGCTACCCTGAGCTTGTGCAAGAGCATGTGAATATGGTGAATAATTTCATTAGACCCAGAAGTGACCCTTATTCCAATACATATAATCCTGGGTGGAAGAACCATCCCAATCTCAGTTGGGGTGGCAACCAACAGCCACGTCAATACCAACAGTCTTACCAATCAACTAGTGAGACTAAGAAACCATCTCTTGAAGACCAAATGTCACAGCTAGCTCAACATATGTCCGCTCTCTCTAATAGCACCAACAATTTTGTCCAATCAACACAAACTAGCATTCAGAATCTCACGGCATCAGTGGGGAATTTGGAGACTCAAGTTGGACAGCTTGCTACCATGTTTAATGAAAGAGAGAAAGGAAAGTTCCCGAGCCAATCTGAGCAAAATCCAAGAGGGATGGAGCATTGCAAAGTAATACGGACATTGAAAAGTGGCAAAAGCTATGACAACAGAGAAGTGGTGCACCGTGAAGCCGAAGTGGAAGAAGAAGAGTTTACTGAAAGTGCACCATTAGCTGCAAAGTCTCGGTCAGAGGCAATTTCTGAAGCAGGTATTCCAGATCCTAGTGCAAGTGACAAAGTGCAATCTCGACGCAACTCTGATTCAAACAAGGAAAAAGGCATTGGTAGTTTATTTGCACCTTCTGACAAGCCACCATACAAGCCACCTTTGCCATTTCCACAAAGGCAGCAACAACGTTCCAAGGATCAACAATGCATTGAATTCATGAAGACGTTGGCTAAGGTTCAAATTAATCTGCCTCTATTAGATGCTATTAAACAGATCTCATCATATGCCAAATTTCTGAAGGAGCTATGTTCTAAAAAGAAAAAGTTCTTGGAATATGAGAAGGTGATATTAACTGAGCAATGCAGTGCTGTCCTCTTACATAAGCTACCACCCAAGAAGAAAGATCCGGGGAGTTTCACTATCTCTTGTACTATTGGTAGTCTTGATTTTCATAAAGTATTGATTGATTTAGGAGCAAGTGTTAACCTTATGCCTTATTCTGTTTTTTCAAAAATTAGGTGAAGGAGAACTCAAGCCCACATCTGTGAGTCTTCAATTGGCAGATAGGTCTGTGACCTATCCTTTGGGTATTCTGGAAGATGTGATTATTAAAGTGGATAAATTCTATCTTCCAGCTGATTTCATTGTACTTGACATGGAGGAAGACAAGGAAGTGCCTCTCATTTTAGGCAGACCGTTCATGGCCACCGCCAGGACACTTATTGATGTGGAAACAGGTACTTTAACCTTAAGAGTGCAAGGAGAGTCAGTTGTATTCAAACTCTTTGAAGCTGTCAAGCGTCATTTCGAACCTGAAGAGTGTTTTCGTGTTGATGTTTTGGATGGGATTGTGCATGCAAACTTTGCCTCACGATCATCTAATGATGAGCTGTTAACTTGCCTCACCAACCATGATGCTACGTTATTTATGGAAGAAAATGTGGTGGACGTCATTGCTGCATTGGATAGTGCACCAATTCATAATCCAAGGTGGCGACATGTTTTATGAAAGCCTTGGAGTGCCTAAGCAGCCTCTTTTTCCTTCAAGTGAGCAAGCTCCGAAGTTAGAACTCAAGCTACTTCCGAGCCACCTTAAGTATGCTCATCTCGGGTGTGAACGAGACCTTGCCTGTTATTATTGTTGCTGATCTTAATGACACGGAGGAAGACAAATTACTAAGAGTTCTTCGCAAGTATCAAGATGCTCTGGGGTGGACACTTGCTGACATAAAGGGCATTAGTCCAGCTTTGTGCATGCATAGGATTTTTATGGAGGCTGGGACTAAACCAACTGTTGAAACTCAAAGACGTCTAAATCCGATCATGAAGGAAGTTGTGAGAGTTGAGGTGATGAAGTTACTCGATGCAGGTATCATTTATCCAATCTCGGATAGCAAATGGGTGAGCCCGACTCAGGTGGTTCCAAAGAAAACTGGTATTACTGTGGTGAAGAATGATAACAACGAGCTTGTGCCTACAAGGATGACCACCGGATGGCGAATGTGTGTTGACTATAGAAAGCCCAATGACAGCACTAGAAAGGATCATTTTCCGCTGCCATTCATTGATCAGATGCTCGAGAGACTAGCTGGTCATTCTTTCTATTGTTTTCTTAGATGGTTATTCAGGGTACAACCAAATTCCAATTGCCCCTGAGGATCAAGAGAAGACAATGTTTACATGCCCTTTTGGTACATTTGCATACAGACGAATGCCATTTGGATTGTGCAATGCCCTTGCCACTTTCCAACGATGCATGATGAGTATTTTTTCTGGAATGGTTGAAAATATTGTCGAGGTTTTTATGGATGACTTTTCTGCTTTTGGTAATTCTTTTGATATATGTTTGGATAACTTGTCTTTGGTTTTGGAAAGATGCAGGGAGACTAATCTTGTGTTAAATTGGGAGAAATGCCATTTTATGGTTAAGCATGGCATTGTGCTAGGACATCTAATTTCAAGCAAAGGAATAGAGGTCGACAAGGCAAAGATTGAGGTGATCGTCAAATTACCACCACCAACTTCTGTGAAGAATGTGAGATCTTTCTTGGGACATGCTGGTTTTTATCGAAGATTCATCAAGGATTTTTCCAAAATTAGTCGTCCTCTTTGTAATTTACTTGCTAAAGATGCTTGTTTTGATTTTAATGCAGACTGTCATGATGCTTTCAACAAATTGAAGAATCTTCTCACATCAGCCCCAATTATAACAGCTCCAGATTGGACCCTTCATTTTGAGCTCATGTGCGATGCTTCCGATTACGCTGTGGGTGCTGTTCTTGGTCAGCGACGTGACAAGCTCCCCCATGTTATATATTATGCCAGCCGCACTTTGAATGATGCTCAGCTGAATTATGCCACTACAGAAAAAGAATTACTTGCAGTGGTATTTGCTCTTGAAAAGTTTCGATCGTACTTAGTTGGTGCTAAAGTCATTGTGTATTCTGATCATTCTGCTCTCAAGTACTTATTGTCTAAAAAAGAGGCCAAACCACGATTGCTTCGATGGGTCCTTCTCTTGCAAGAGTTTGATTTGGAGATTCTAGATAAAAAGGGACGTGAGAATGTTGTGGCGGATCATCTCTCGAGATTAGTAAATGCAAGCACTGATGAGGCAGATTCATTGCCCCTGCAAGAGAGCTTTCCAGACGAGCAACTTCTAGCGGTTACTCATCAAGTACCATGGTATGCTGACATCGCAAATTATTTGGCATCTGGAGAAATACCATCAGAGTTCAGCTACCAACAAAGGAAGAAGTTCCTCTCCACTGTAAAACACTACTTTTGGGATGAGCCATACCTTTTCAAGCATTGCCAAGATCAAATCATTCGTCGGTGTGTCCCCTTAGAAGAACAAGAAAGCATTTTGAAGTTTGCTCACCACTATGCATGTGGTGGTCATTTTGGACCAAGAAGGACAGCGCCAAGATCTTACAGAGTGGTTTCTTTTGGCCATCTTTATTCAAAGATGCATACCTATGCTGCCAGGCTTGTGATAAGTGTCAAAGAGTTAGAAATCTTTCTCAAAGAAATGAGATGCCCCAACAAAGTATTTTGGTGATTGAATTATTTGATGTTTGGGGTATAGACTTCATGGGACCATTCCCTTCTTCACATGGCAATCTTTACATCTTGGTGGCGGTTGATTATGTCTCTAAGTGGGTGGAGGCAATAGCTTCTCCAACATGCAAAAGTTCTGTGGTGTTCGGTTTCTTGCAGAATACTATTTTTTCCCGATTTGGAGTACCTCGTGCTATCATCAGTGACGAAGGTACGCACTTCTTAAATCGCACCATGGCTTCCCTTTGTGCCAAGTATCATATTCACCATCGCATAGCCACTCCATACCATCCACAGACATCTGGACAAGTTGAAGTATCTAATCGGGAGCTCAAGAGGATTCTTGAGAAAAACTGTCAGTTCATCTCGAAAGGATTGGAGTTTAAAGCTTACTGATGCTTTGTGGGCATATAGGACAGCTTATAAGACACCAATTGGGATGTCTCCTTTTCGTTTGGTGTATGGGAAAGCTTGCCATCTGCTTATGGAACTTGAGCACAAGGCATATTGGGCAATTAAGCACCTCAATTTTGACTACCAAGCAGCGGGAGAGAAGCGGAAGCTGCAGTTGAATGAACTGGAAGAAATAAGGAATGATGCTTATGAGAATGCAAAGATTTACAAGGAGAAGACCAAGAAATTTCATGATGCTCACATCCTTCGTAAAGAGTTTCAACCGGGTCAGAAGGTTTTGCTTTTTAATTCAAGATTGAAACTATTCCCAGGAAAGCTAAAATCACGTTGGAATGGTCCATATCGTGTTGTACAGGTCCATCTTCATGGGGCTGTGGATATCCAAAACATGCAAACTGGTTTTGTCTTCAAAGTTAATGGGCATCGCTTGAAGTTATACAAGGAGTCTTCATATGATCTTGCTAAGGATTCCATCACTTTGAAGGAACCTGTTATTTGAATCAAGCTGCCAACAGAATGTCTAGCTCTAGACAGTAACTAAAGCGCTTCTTGGGAGGCAACCCAAGTTTTCTATCTTTCATCTTTAGTTTGAATAATTTTAAATGTTCTTGTTCTGTTTTTCTCTTGTTTTCTGGTTTGTGTGTTTAAATCCTACTTTTGCTCCCTTATGCAGGTAATGATTTTGCAGTCTCTACCACAACTTCTTGCAAAGTTTCTTAATCCCACAGGGTACTCACACATTTGCTCTCCTCGCCTACACAAATTGGTGTGTTCTTTCCTTTTCTTTATGTGTCTTTATTTCATTTTGTATTTCTTTCCTTCCATTTTTATGTCTTATTGTTCAAAATTCATTTCATTATCATTGGGGACAATGCTATAATTAAGTTTGGGGGTGGAAATATATTTCGTTAGTTTATTTCTTTTTCAAAAAAAAATAATAATAATAATAATTAAAAATAAAAAAAAAAGTTTTTGCATTTTTATTGTTGTTTGTAGCTACTTCTCAATTCAATGATGAGATTTGATTTTAATTTCCTTCTTACTTTCAAGAAGTCTAAGTTCTTTTCGTTGTCTTTGTGTTAACTGTGATTTCCAGAAATCAACTTGAAAAATAAATGTGCCTAGTCTTGTCAATGTGAAACTTGAGCATGATTTAGCGTTTCATATGTGAATCATGTGAGATTATGTAAACCTTGTGAGTTTTTGAGCCTATACATGATTGAACCATTATACATCAATCTCATTCCTTCTTGTGCGTATGATCTCACTGTACATGTATCTCTAGAACTTGCTTTATACTACTCGATTCATTAATCAATTCATGTAATAACTTGGAAGTGATATAGGCCATTTTTGGATCGTTTGAGCCTTTCATGCCTACCTTATATGCTATGTTTATCCGTAGTAGCCCATTGAGCCTTTAACTAAGCCATTTCTTTGTTAGCCACATCTCTTTACCTTGCTCCAATATTGGAGTTGAGCCCATACACAAAAATCGATTCCTTATTGTTTTGAGAAAGTATTACATGGGTTGTGCTCTTGGGGGTTTCATTTATGTAGAAAGATGGATGGAGCATGTGTATTACAATGAAATGTGAATTTGATGGGTGATGTAGCTTTTGCAAAATTGTTTCAAAAAAAAAAAAAAAAAAAAAAAAACGAAATATAAGAAAATTGGAGAAATGTTGATTAGTTGAAAATGTATCGATAGAGTATAAATTTCCTTTTGAAGTTAAATTTGGGGAGTAACAGGTGCTCGAGGTTTTATTATTTTGCTTTCAATTTGAGGTGGTGTGATATTGAGGTGTTGGAAAACTACCAAAGTGTACTTTCTCAAAACTTTTGATTTCCATATCCTTTCTTTCATTAGCCTATCACCTTTAGCCCCATTACACAACCGTAATAAAGTCCTATTGATCCAAAGTATTACTTAAATATTGATAAGCGAGTTAGGTGGACAAGCAAGCATATGGCGGCATGTACAATGAGATCATTTGAGTGAAACACATTAACCAAAACTTATGAGTGAATGAGCGTATGTCTTGTGAGAAACTCACATGTTTGCATATGATGATTTAAAGGAGTTTGGAATTGCATTGACATGACTAGCTCACACATGGCTTTTCAACGTTTTGTTTGAAGGAATTTTGGTTAACTATTGGATGATGTTTTGAGCTCTTGTTACTTACTTCTTGGTTGTTTGTTTTCATGATTAGCACTTATCTCTAAAATCGAGTTTGAGAAGTTGGCTACCAAGTTGTTGAATCTAGTTTTAGTTGAGTGGTTTTGTTTTGTGTTTTGTTTTGCTAGAGGACTAGCAAAAATGCAAGTTTGGGGGTATTTGATCACTCATATATTTCATGCAATTATACCATCCATTTCTAAAGTTTTTGTGATGTTTTTGTGTTAAAATTGTGGCATTTTACCTTACCTTATGTTAATGTGCAGTTAATGTTGTTTTAGGACAAAAATTGGCAAAAAGAAATAGAATAAAGAAAGAAGTGGAAGGCACACTGGCAGAAAGAATAAAAACATAAAATGGAGAGAAGAAAGCAGTGGAGGACACACGGGACAGTGGGAGAGACTGACGGGGATAACAGAAAGAAAAGAAGAATAAGGAGTGGAGAGGCAAGTGCGGTAGGTACAACAGAAAAATAAATAAATAAAAGAATAAAGGAAGGTCAGAAACAGAGGAGACAGGGAAGGCAGTAGGTGTGGAAATAAGAAAAGGGAGTGCACTGACAGACGGAAAAAGAATAAAAAAAAGGAGGGGGACAGACTGCAAGGTGGAGAGGAAGGCACGGGTTGGAAGGCAGACGAGAGAGAGAGAGACTGCGCAGAAGCGAGGCGCAGAAGCACGGGAGTGACCAGACGCATGGCAGGGAACCAGCGAATGAAAAAAAAAAGAAACTGAAGAAGTCAGAGCACAGAAACTGACGGGAGCAGAAGAGGAACAAAAAACGGGTGTTTTCTTTCTTGTTATTTTCTATGGATAATTTCTTATGTATGAACATAATTATGTGTAACTAATTTATTATGCTAGAGTGAGGCCATGAGCCGCAACATGAATATGTAGATTTATTTTTTTAATTGCTTAAGTGTTGTTACATGCTTGCTTTGATATTTTCAATCACTGAATTAAACTATCTATGTACCTTGATGCTTGATCACCATTAGGATGCTTAGAAAAGTTATCGGATGCAATTTTGAACGAATGTCACGTTAAAATTGGTTGTGCTTCTTGTGATTGAGAATTATACTCTCCTAAGGTAAATATCATGCTCTTAGGGATTATATGGTTTAACAAAAGGATTTTCACCAAGATTAAGGAATCACTCATGTTTATATTTAATCCAAATGTCATGGATAAGTTGCATGTAGTGGTATGCGTTTTAGCTTGAATGTCACAAGTAAAACATACACAAGGAAAATCCAACCTTCAAAGCATG